CAAACCAGCCCCATCCATTCCATCCCAGGCTGGCCCCTGGAATCCCTAGACCTCTCCACAATTCAGAATTGTGCCCCAAAAGAATTAGGGGCACCTGGGTGGCTCAGTCGGTTAAGCGTCCGACTTTGGCTTGGGTCATGATCTCAAGGTTCGTGAGTTCAAGCCCCGCATCAGGCTTCGAGCTGATAGTACAGAGCCTGCTTGAGAGATTTTCTCTCTGTCTCTCTTCCCCTCCCCGACTTGGGCATTCATGCATGTGCTCGCTCGCTCTCTCAAAATAAATTTAAAAACTTAAAAAAAAAAAAAGAATTAGTACCTGCTGCAGAAGGGATGAGGGGGCGGTTCCAGGATCTGCTCCAATGTGTGGCCAACATGCATTTTGATTCCAATAATGCCAGATATTAACTAGTTCCCTGGCATCTCCAATTTGTGCATGGTATGTGCTGTGACTTTTAAAAAGTGACCACAAATTCTTTGACATTCCTCCCTTCAAGAGGTGGAGTCAATGCTCCCCCCTCGTTGAACTTGGACTTGCGACTTCTCCAACCAATAAAGTACAGTGGAAGTCAAGACGAGTGACTTCCAACACTGAGTCCACTTAGCACTCTTGGATCATGAGTTCTCAGACTCTCCCCCTTTGGAACCCATTGGAACCCAACTGCCATGACGCAAGAAGCCCCAACCACATGAAGAGGCCACATGTACATGCTCTGGTTGACAGTCCCAGCTCAGCTCAGCTTTGAAGTCATCCCAGCTCAGGAGCCAGACGTGCAAGTGGAGAAGTGTCCAGATGGTTTCAGCTCCCAGCTGGGGCAGAGACAAGCCATCCCTGATCCCCACTGTCCCACGATCAAGCCCCTGGCCCACCCAATCTGGGAGCATAACAAAATAGTTTTTGTTTTGTGCCACTAAGTTTGGTTTTTTGTGAAGCAACAGATCGTTGGAACAGTGTGACAGCCACCGGCCCATCACAATCATTGTGAGGTGTGTTACAAGAAATTTCTTACCAAGCGTAACTCACTGAGGTTTCCAACTGGTTGAGTTTTTATCACATTACAGGGGCTTCAGAATTATCCCCATAATTTCTAAGTCTTACTTCTTTGCGTGTTCAAGGGTTTTCTCAGGAGACAAAGGGCTTGAGTACAGCCATCTACCAGAAATTATACACAACCCCTTAGCCACTTCTACTGCATTATACAGTGTGTGAGTGACAGTGCTCCAGTTTGGGAGGGGGCAGCAAGTTGCCCAGCCCATGGCATGAATTTCTTTCCCCTTGCCTGACACCTGCTTCCCAGGACTTGCAGTTTGGAATGGCCCTCCGACTGAAGGGCTTCTTAAATTATTTAATTTATGTGAAGAATGTAAAACAGTTCTTGGCACAGGTTAAGCCCCATATAAGTGTTTATTGCTTTTACTTTTGTTATTTTAGATTTTTTTTTCTTCCCTGAAACAAAGAAAACTCTTCCATTTGTTCCCTTCCTTCCTGCTTAATTCACTGGTATGAGGACGTGATGTCTAGAGCTGTGGTAGCTATTTTGTGACCAAGAGGCAACAAACCTAGCATATGAAGCTATTCTTCTAAGGAAGGTAGAATGGAAGAGTAGGAAATTGGGTCCTTGGTGATATCAAGGAGCCATTGCGTCAAATCCCCAAACCTCCTAACTCGAGACTTCTTATTAAATGAGATCACCAAATGTCTTCAGTCGTATTAATTGGGTTTTCTGTCTTCCGCAGCCAAATATACCCTCACAAATCCATCTCTGTATGCCCACCATAGAACCTAGAGAAGGTAGTCAATTAATATTTAATGCCATGGGGTGACTGGCTGGCTCAGTTGGTAGAGCACGCGACTCTTAATCTCGAGGTCATGAGTTCAAGCCCCATGTTGGCCATAGAGCTTACATAGACATTTGGATCATATAGGAGATACCTAAATTCTGACATATGACCCTCCTCAGTGCTGCAGTGGAAATAAAGTTGCAAATCCCTTCTCGGAAATGCCAAGGCCTAACAAAAATTTTTGACCTGGACGTATTTTGGTTTTGCCCTGTTCAGCATCCATTTCTCCTGGTAAACTCCTCAGTTTTCCTTTGAGGAATGGCCCCATCTTCCGATTCCTTCATTTGCCTGGACACAGGACTCAGGTTTGCTCAATCATCTCCAAAGCACGGTGGCAAGCCTTCCCTTGATCCCCTCCCCCCCCCCCCATGAGAGCCTCTGTATCAGCTGTTCCCTGCGCCCGGGACATGCTATTACTTTCCTGCCATCACAAAGTCTTCACCTGGCCAGTTCCCATTCATCCCTTATGTTTCACCTAATATCACCTTCTCCTTCAAACACCCTTCTGCATGGGGCACTGGGCATCCTATTGCTTTTATCTGTGTAAAAACGTCCCCATCCTATTTTTCTGGTGACTATTTAGGTTCAACCGTGTGAAATTGCCAACGCTCTGCCATTTCTAACCTACAATGCCTGGCGATTCCATATGGTTCAACCTAATTATTATTTTGGTAACCCCCAGGTCACACAACCCAGACCCACAACCCCCACCTGGCCAGCCAAAACATTACATTTCTGGGGTGTCTGGGTGGCTCAGTCGGTTAAGCATCTGAATCTTGGTTTCAGCTCAGGCCATGATCTCACTGTTGGTGAGTTCAAGCCCCACATTGGGCTCCATGCTGTTAATGCAGCACTTGCTTGGGATTCTGTCTTTCTTTCTCTCTCTCTCTGGTCCTCCCCTGCTTGTTCGCTCTCTCTCTCTCTCAAAATAAATAAATAAACTTTAAAAATTATAGTCCCTTGGATGCTACAGTCAGTGCTGGGGTGGTACGTGAGTCTGGTCAGACCAATCAGAGCCCTTCCCTGATTTTTTTTTTTCATTTAGGATTGGAGGAGATTTTTGCCATTTTACCTTTAGGGTATAGGGCTAGAAGCATCCAGTGTGTGTCTGTAAATAAATGGCCATTGCCCCCAGCACATGTGGTTGAAGAGGATGAATCTGAGCTGGGAGAAGCAGAGAGGAGAAATGAGTGAGAAAAGCGTCTGGGTGGAATTGAACCTGGGTTCCAGTCTCTAAGGCCAAGTTCCTTGTAGCTCTACCCTTAATCGTCTGCTTCCCACATATATAAGCCAACAATGCCCACTTTTTATGTCTAGTCCAGGGAAGCTGAGCTCCTATCACTTGCTACCCAAAGACTCAGACTAATACACATGTCCTTGAACCTCTGGTCAGGGTCAGCTCCGCTGGGCTCCCACAGTCTCCTGTGCTTCTTACAGCAATATGGCTGCAGTTGCCCTGCAGGGACTGGGACTGTCTTAGTTGCCGCTGGGTCTCCAGTGCCCAGCACAGGGCCAGGCACAGAAGGGATAATCATTTCCCTTGGATGATACTATGCCCTCTCTCACCTAGTGTACCTGTTCCTTGGGTTTAAAGCTCTCGTCCTTTTTATGTTTATTTATTTATTTTTTGAGAGAAAGAGAGAGAGAGAGATCCAGGGAGGGGGCAGCAATAGGAGAGAGAAATCCCAAGCAGGCCTCGAGCTGTCAGCACAGAGCCCAAGGTAGGGCTCAAACTCACGAACTGTGAGATCACGACTTGAGCCGAAACCAAGAGTCGGACGCATAACTGACCGAGACACCCAGGTGCCCCTTAAAGCTCTCGATTTTGAAAACCAAGCATGGCATTGACATTGATAAATACATCTCTACTAAAATGAAGAGGTTACAGGTGAAGGAAGGTGGATGGAGTGTCATCCAAAGGGCCGAACCGGGGATCACGTTGGCCCCAAATGTGTCAACGGGTAGATGGCCAGACTCTGAGATGGCAGTTGCTGATTCAGTTTCTAAGGCACACACACCCCACCCCAAAGCTGGGGTCTCCACAAAAATCAGACCATATACTGCCTCTGCAGAAATCCCTCCATTGGCTTCCCGTAGCTCTGAGAATTAAATCTTGACTCTTGACCCCAGTCCACAAGGCTCTTCAGAATCTCTTCCTGCTCACCTCTCCCGCCTCCTCCCCTCCCACTCTCCCACTCACTCCAGCCCAGACATAGCACCTCCAGCACACGAAGCACCTGCTTCCCTTAAGGGCTTTGCATGTGCCATTCACTTTGCCTAAAATGCTTTTCCCTGGATCTTCCTACAATGGATTTCTTCAGCTCCGGCACCACACTCCCTTCAGCCCCCATCTGAAGCAGGCCTCCCCACCCCCCCACCTCCATCAGTCCTTGTCCTCTTCCATTTTCATTCTTTATGCGACATTTACTTACCACCGGACAAGGCGTTTACTGTCACACCCTCCCTCCCCTGGGGCATATAAGCTCCATGGGGCAGGGGTTTCTTGTTTTGTCTTATTTAACTATTTTGTTCACTGTTGTATCCCCTGCACAGAGCCAGGTACACAGTACATGCTCGAGAAAGCTTTATTGGGTGAATCAGAGACAATATAGTCGGCTGGTTAGGTGTGCAGGATTTGGAGGCAGTAAGCTTTCCGATCCTGGCTCTGCCCTTTGGTGGTTGTGTGGTCTTGGGCCAGCTCCCTTAACCTCTCTCAACTTCAGTTTCCTCCTCTAGAGAATCGGATGCACACGCTACACACATCTGTTACAGAGCATAAATGCGATCGTGCTGAGTAACTCCATTTTGCTGGGCACTGGCTTGCATGCTCTCTGCTTGCATCAGGGAGGGTCTGTGAGCACAGCGCCTGGCATGTGGGAAGCCCTCAGTAGCCAGGAGTCGTGATGACTGAGAGAAGTGTGGCTGGGCCACTGGGCGAGGGAGCCTCATGGCATGTGAGTCGCTGGTGCTTCTGTCCTTGCTGCTTCCCACCCTGTCTGCCCAGCTCCATCCCCCTCCCTCCTGCTTCGTTTCTATTTCCGTCTTTCTCTCCTCCTCTCCAGGCCTCAGGGGGCCCCTGGCTGGCAAGAAGCCTTTTTCCTCCTTCTCCAGGATCGAGGAGTAGTTTTCACTGCAGGCCAAGCCCTTCTCCCCAAGGGCTGGGGCACCCCCATCGGACCAACTTCCCTTCCCCAGCCATAGCCCTCAGCCTCCCCTAAGAAACTCTTCCCCACACACCGTTCTCTGTGTTCCCAGCAAACTCTAGCACCTAGAATTCCTCAAATTCCAGACAGCGACCAATGAGCATTTTCCCTCATCCCCTCCCCCAGGTTGACTTTGGATACCCTCAGCTAATCAAGGTCTTTGGGGCCATTCCCTGGCCTCCAGATGGATGCCAGAGGCAATATAGTGTAGTAGAGAGGAGTCGATACTGAGGTCAAACTGCCAGCTACCCTATTTCCTCATCTGGGGGCCTTGGGATAGTGCCTTTCATTTCTCCCTGGTTCAGATTCCTGACTGTAAAATGGGATTAAACATATCCACTTCAAACAGCTAGCGGTCTGACCTCAGAGAGCTGAGCTGCGCTTAGCCCATGTGCAGAATGAACATCCACCAAGCTGCTCAGCAGTAGAGTTCTATGGTTAAGAATACAGACTCAGAAGTCAGGCTGCCTGCCTTTTTCAATCCCAATGTTGCTACCTTCTGTTCTGGCTATGTGACCTTGGGTAAGTTACTTAACTTTTCTGGGCTCAATTTCCTCATCTGCAAAACAGGGTAACAGTGCAGGTGTACTAGGGTTGTTCAGAGGATTAAATATCTTAAGTGCTTGGCACATAGTAAGCACTCACTAAATGTTAGCTGTTATCATTTTTATTATTCCCCACCTCTAAGCCAGAGGACGGGAAACTATCTGCAAGTATCCCTGGTCCCAACTAGCCGTCCTTCCTTCAGTCTCACTTGAGTCGGCACGCTGTAATTCAGATCACACACACATATCCCCCCAAACACACGGACACACAGAGGTCAACAGAGCGGCCTCAGACACAGAAAAAAGTTTAATTCTGCTGCGGCGGAGGGTCCCGGCTCCGGCAGGGAGGGGAGGATTTGGTTTTGGATCTTGTTCATGTGGGGGTTTATTTGGGGAAAGAGGAAGGGATACGGGAGACTCTGGTCCTTCCAGTGGGACCTGCCCGGGAGAGTGTGTAGTGGGAAGAGGTAATCAGGAGAGAGAGGGAGACTGGACAAGATATGGGAGGGAGAAGAGACTGCGGGACAGAGAGAGACAAATAGGGAAGGACAGAGACATGAGACAAAGACGACATAGGGCGGCACAGAGAGGAAGGGAACAGAGAAAGGGGGACCCCAAGCCAGACCCGACGGGACCAGGGAGGTGAATGGGGTGGGGGTGGGGGCTTTGGAGGCCGCCGCGGGACAGAATAGGATCTAGTCCAGCCAGATACAAGAAATGGGCCCCTCGCCCCTGCCCCGGTCCCGGGCGGGGGGAGGGGGCTCGTGTCTCAGTGCTGCAGTGTCGGGGGGGCCCTGCCCCTCCCCGCGCTTCGCTGTGTAAGGCACCGGCTCCAGCGAGGTCCGCGAGCGCGCGGGGGGAGGGGCAGGAGGGGGACGAGGAGTCCTTGGAGGAGGGGGGCCCGGCTGCCCGCCCCCTAACTCCCCCGGGCCCGGGGGCGTGGCCAAGGGCTGCAGACGAGGCAGCCTCGCCCCCTTCAGGGAGGAGAAGGGCGCGTCTCCTCCTCCAGTCTGACCACTAGGCGCCGCCGTGCTTTCGCCCCCGAGTCCTGCCCCAGCGTCCGGGTGGCTGGGCGTTTGTCCGCGGCACCCAGGCGTCCCGGCGCCCGCTCGCCGCTCAGACGGTACTCTCCAGCATCCACTCGGTGCTGGTAAAGGCCAGGCGTGCCCTGGCGGAGCCCAGCCCCAGGTCTCCGTCCTCCCCGGCCGCGCCCCCTCCGGCCCCGTCCAGGTGCGGCGTGGACCGGTGGCGCTTTGTCCGCCGGGCGCGGCGCGGGTAACTGTGGCTCTGGAAGAGTGCCCCGTAGTCCCCGTCGAACGAATAGCGCTGCTGCGGCCTCGGCCGGGCCGGGGCCCCCCCAGGAACCAGAGCTAGAGTGGGGGGCGCCGAAGCTGGCGGCCCCAAGGCCCCGGAACGGCTCCTCCGAGGGCCCGCCGTGGCCCGAGACTCCTCCCCAGAGATTTCCTCAGACGGCAGCAGGCACAGCGAGGTGGCTGAGCCGCCCAGGGAGCGTCCAAGGACGGCCTCTGGCTCGGTGGAATCCATCTCGGCGGCGGTGGCCTTCGCCTCGACCGCCAAAGCGGCAGCAGCTGGGGACGTCACCTCGCGCAGCGCCTCGTAACGGTCTTGCGCCGGCGGGGGCGGGGCCTGCGACGCGCCTGCGCCGCCGTTGGTCTGCGAGCACACGTGGCTGACCCGCGGAGGCGACCTGGAGGTACCCTTGACGCGGCGGCCATCTCCGTCGCCGTAGACCTTATAGCGGATCATGAGCAGAACGATGAAGACGAGGACCGAGGCGACGATGACGCCCCCAATGGCGATGATCATGGTGCCACCCAAGAAATGGGCCCTCAGTGGGCGGCAGGGCGCGGGATCCCCGGCAGTGGTAAACTGCACACAGCCCACCACTCGCGTGGCCGGCAGTGCAGTGGCCCCGTCGTCGTAGACTGCCAGCACGCACAGGTCGTAGGCGCGGCCTGCTGCCAGATCATTCACCAGGAAGGTCTGGCTGGTGGATGGGATCATCCTGCAGGAGGGACGGCATCAGCACTGGGTTAGCTCCACTATGAACGGTACGGCTTCATTTGCGTGTCCCATCCGTGGTGACCAACAGGGAACAAACCATGCATTCCTACCGATATTTCACTCTCTATGGGACAACAGCAGCCATTCAAGCAGCAAATGTACATCCTCTCAGGACCACTGCTACAGGCCACGCCCCTCATCTGCAAGCCCAGACCTCAGAACCACTCCCTGTGGTGTTTCATCACCTGCTACGATAATATCTGCCATTCGTGTTCCCTCGTCTACATATCCTGGACCCTGCCTGGGAGGAGTACTATAGCTTTTAAATCCTGCCCTGAAGGAACATGCCTTTAATTTGGGTCAGCTGCCATTCAGAGTCTCTGATCTATAGATTTCCATCCTTGAAGGGGCCCCAATACTATATCCTGCATGTCCCATCCTCCCTCAAGTGGACACCGAAGTCAACTCACACCCCCTGTCTTACTCCTACTGGGACAACGGATGCTCTTCTAGTTTCTTTTTTCTACCTATTCCCATCCTTTCCGGGAAACCATGATACAGGCCACGCCCCTCATCTGCATGTCCCACCTTGGGTACATACATCTAGCCGCCTCTGTCTATTTCCAAGCCCCTCAACTACATATTCCCACCCACCAAGGGGACCTGGCTATAGGCCACTCCACTTCTGGTTGACCAATCACTTCCAAGCCACACTCCACAGGGCCTACTACAAATGGTTTCCCTACCGTGCCTGGGACCATGTCCGCTCTTTGCGTGTCCTGCAATATCGATCACCTTGTGTTCATGCTGTGCCCCATACCACCAGAGGTCGTGAAATCATGCCCCCAGGGTAAATTTCATCCACAATCGGGTCAAAGGTAACCAAGCAAGCATGCCACTCTCTTGCTATAGGCCCCTGCCTTCTAATGAGGGACAGTGCAAAGAAGTGGTTATGCCGACAAAGCCTGGGGGCCTGTGTTTGAGTCTCTCTGCTGCCCCTTGCTAGCTCTGTGACCTTAGGCAAGTTTCTTAACATCTCTGTGCCTCATTTCCCCAAAATGGAGACAGTAAGAATTCTTCTGTCTTCTTCATAGAGAAAGTGTGAAGTATGAATGAGTTAACCTACCTAAAGCCTGGCACTGGATAATTTCATCATGATTAGCTTGCATCCCACCCAGTGCTGGCCAGTCACCCTCACCGTGGCTCACACTTTACTGCCAATGGCACTCTTCCCCAGCTGGAAGAGCATTCCCACTAGGCCTTGACCCTCTTCTGTTGGGCACATCTCTTCTGTGCTGTTGGCCACATCCAGCCTTGGCTAAGCCAGGACTGCCACATCCACATGGATTTGTATGCCCAGCACTCAACCTCACAAGCTCCCCTCACCTAAAAATCTCATAGTGGGTCACCAGAGACAAGGACTGTTGCCCAAGACCATGTGGCAGGAGCTCCATCTCCTCTGAAAGGCCACCCCCCCCCCCCCCCCCCACAGGCCTCTAGCCCCTCAGCAACTTCACATTCTCTCTAACAAGCCACCTCTGCCATCTCTGGTCCTGAAGCCCACCTCAGCTCCCTTATAGCCAGAGCCACCCTTCAAAAGATTTCAAGTATGGTCCCCATCCCCCCCCCACCCATAAAGGCCTACCCGCTTTTCCAACTCACCCCCTGCCTGCCATTTCACACACTGCCCCCCACCCCTTCCAGCCTTGGGCCCCTGGCTGTAAGTCTTCCTCCTCCTCTCATCTCCTCTCCCAAAGAGCATTGGATTCCTCTTGCTCCTTTCCCCCAAAGTAACCAGTTGCTAGGGGCTCCCCACTTTTCAAGGACAGAGGCTGGCTCCTTAAGAAAGCTTCAGCCCATGTGTCTCTAATTGGCTGCAAGACGCAAGCAAGCAGCAGAGCAGGCTTCTGGTTGGATGTCACCTCCGCCCGTGGCAGCAGTGAGGAGGTTAACCCCTGCAGCACCGTAGCACAGGCATCTGCAATGGGGGACAGAGGACTGAACTGTGGCCTTGAGGTGAAAGGAAGACAACAGGGGTCTGTTGCCCTGCTGGGGACACAGGGCCACCAACATCTGCATACATGCACGGTCTGAGGGTCTGTGAACCTCCCCTCACCGCACCACACAGAGGCTAAGAGTTAGAGAAGAAGAGAAACAGAGAGGTGGAGAGACACAGAAACTAAAAGCTATTGACAGAAATGTATTATCCTTCTCCCCTAATCCCTGCCTGGCAAAAAGTAGGGGCTCGATAAATGTGTGTTCAATGTATAAAGGGCAAGATTAGGAGTTAGAAGGGTTAGGGCTGGAATCCTGGTCACTTCCTCTGTGACCTTGAGCACGTGGTTCCCCCCACTGAGTCTCAGTTTCCCTGTCTATAAAAAGGGAAGGGGGATCATGACTGCTTCACGGCAGAGTTGGCAAATGCCAACGGAGCAGGGGCTTCATGGCAGAGTTAGCAAATGCCAACGGAGCAGGGGCTTGGTGCCTCATAAGGACAGGAGGGAGAGACGGGATAGACAGAGGCAAAAGCAAGAGAATTGATGGGAGAAAGTAGCCCTTTAATGCCTGTCTATGCTGTACAGATCTGTCCACACCAGGGCAAGGGCTGCTAACCCAGTGGATGGTGGAAATAACTTAGGTGTGTCTATAAAATGGGAGGGGGTATCATCATTGCTTCACAACAAAGTAGGGAGGATCAAATGGTCATTTATATATTTTTCTCATACTTTTTCTTCCTGATTCGTTTAATGTACCTGATGTGTTGCTAACAGTAACACTGGTATGGGTTAATCATAAGTGTGTGAGAATATTTCATGTTCCAAAATGTTTCACTGACAAGGTGCAGAATCAAGCACCCTCGGCCAGCAGTGATGTAGACCATGAACCCCAGAGAGCAGGGATGCTGCTGGGCACGTTCACTATTATAACTCCAGTGCCCGGCCCTAGTCTGGCTCGTGTGGGTCCTCGACGAAGATTTACTAAACGCAGGAAAACCAGAAAGAGATAGGGAGACAGAACTAGAGAGGAGGAGACAGGGCGGGTGAGGGCCCAAGACAACTCTGCATGTCCATCTAGAGAACCACAGCTGAGCAAGAAGGCCAACGGAGTGGGCAGATGGGAGGGTGGGCCCCTGGAGGAGGTAGAGGTCCTGGGACTGCAGCACCCACCTGTAGACAAGGGAGTCATCTGCGGAGCTGTTGTACTGGACCTGGTACATGCGGATGCCGGGCACGGGCCTCTGGGCCGGCCAGCGGATGAGCACCGAGTTCGAGGTGAGCTCGGCCGCCACGAGCCGGCGCTCAGCGGCCGATTCGTTGGCACCGGGTCGGCCGGGTGTGGCGATGTCTGAGGAGCCGGGCTCGGTGAGGGGAGGCGGGGCGGCCGGTGGGGGCGCCATCAGAGGCAGGGGTACCACGCACACCTCCACGGGGGCCGTCGCTTCCCCAGCGGCGTTGGAGGCGATGCACGTGAAGGTGCCACTGTCCCTTAAGGTGGTGATGGTTACATCCAGTGTCCCATCCCCCCGAACCCGGGTCCGGCTCGAGTTCCCCAGCAACCGCCCATCGGGTGCGACCCAATGCACCACGGGCTCAGGGTCACCCACAGCGCGGCACCGCAGGCTGACCGCCTGGCCCTCCACCACCAGGGCCCGGCCCCCCGCCTGCCGTGTAATCAGCGGGGGTTCACACAGGAACTCCTCCTCGGGAATGGACCAGAAGTAGCGGTCGGTGAGGTGCTCCGGGGTGGCGCACGTCTCCAGGTCGTCCTCTCGGGTCAGCCGCCGCAGCCACAGCAGCTCGCAGTTGCAGTGCAGAGGGTTGCCGCCGAAGCTGACCGTGAGCGGCGTGGGCGGCTTCGGCCCCGAACCTTGGGACCTCAGGAAGAGCCCATCGGGGGGCAGTTTATGGAGGCGGTTGGAGGTCATGTCCAGGCGAACCAGTTTGTGCAGCTGCACAAAGGTACCTTCAGCGATATGGTCGATGAGATTGTGGTCCAGCGTGAGGGTGTTCAGGTTCACCATCTGGCCCACAGCCTCCCACGGCAGGGCCTCGAGATTGTTGTAGGACAGATCCAGGTCCTCCACGGTGGACAGGAAGGCGTCGAAGGCAGCTGACTCGACCCGGCGGATCTGGTTGTTGCCGAGGATCAGGTGGCGAAGGTTGCCCAAGCCGCGGAGCTGGTCGCCACGCACCTCGGCCAGGCGGTTGCTGTCGAGGTGCAGGGCGCGGAGGGCACGGAGGTCAGCGAAGGCGCCGGCGGCCACCTGGCCGATGGTGTTACGGGACAGGGTGAGGTGCACCAGGCTGGTCATGTTGGCGAAGTCTCTGCGGCGGACGGCCGCGATGAAGTTGTCAGTGAGCCGCAGCTCCACCACGCGCCGGTCGATGGCCGGCGGCACGAAGAGCAAGCCGGTCTTGGCGCACAGCATGGTCAGCGTGGGCGCCACGTTCTGGCAGATGCAGCGGCCGGGGCAGGGCTGCCCACGGGATGCCCCGGCCCAGAGCAGCAGCAGAAAGGGCAGGGCGGCAGGTGGCGGCGAGGGGAGCGCCGAGGAGAAGGGGCCCGGAGCCATGGTGCAGAGGGAAGGCGGGAGGAGTGGGGCGGGAGACCTGCAAGGGAACGAGACGGGTTACCCAGGCACAGGGCTTGACCACCAGCCTGGCCACCCACAGTGTCCTGCTAGAAGTCTGCCTCAGGTCCCTGCCTTCCTGACATCCAGTCTGAACAGAGGCAGGAATGATCATCACCTGGCATGCATTTGTTGTTAACAGACAATATTTCCATGCTGGTTAGTAAATTACACAGCCCTCCGCCCTCCACCCCCCACCCCCAGGGTCCTAATCCCAACTCTGACCTTCCTCTAGGAGGCCCAGACCTCTCATGATTTTCCAACCAGAGGGGTGCGGTGACACCTGGCCCAGTCTGGGCCTTCCAGTACCCACTAAATATTTTTAAAAATCAGGGTTGACTAGGGTTTAAGGTTGTGGATTTCAAAGCCATAGTCCCCGGGTTCAAATTCCAGCTCTGACACTTACTAGCTGTGTGACCTCGGGCAAGTGTCTGAACCTCTCTGAATCTCGGTTTCTTCATCTGTAAAATGGAGATAAAAACAGGCCTTACCTCTGTGAGGATTAACTGGATCAATGAACATAGTGGACTTAGAACCGTGCCTGGAACATAAAATGTGTTCAATACGTGTTGGTAATTATTCTCATCATGATCATTGAGGGCCCAATATATGCCAGGCACAGAAGTGTGCACTATTATTAAGAGTAAGTGCTCTGAAATCAAACAGACTCAGGTTCAGTCCTGGCTCCCCACTAGCTGGTTCTGTGACCGCAGACCAATGATTTCCCCTAACTAGGCCATAATTTCCTAATTTGTACAACGGGATGACAATCATACCATCTTTGCGGGGTTGTTGCAAGGGTTCAGTGAGCTCATTCATTGGGGCCACTGAGCACAGGGCCTGACACACAGTAAGTATCCAGTAAATGTTAAGGGGAACCACTACCACCACCACCCCCACACACACACACACACCCTTGGGAGTGGCAGAGGGAATCTGAAGTTAGGAGGCGCTGAGAAAAACACAGCAGTCTCCGTCCTAGTCTTGGGAAGTCCTTCTCTGAACCTGGCTTCATCCTGGGCTCTGGTGAGCTCCCAAACAGCGGGCAGACTTCCACGCTCACATCAGCGGGCACATACAAGGCCCCATACATGCCCACACTCACACACACCCTCACACACTCACGCTATGCCTCTGCTCCAGGCAAAACCTTCCGGCAGGGATTCCCCTGCGGCGGCTGCAGCCCACGACATGTCAGTTCCCATCACAACACCGGGTGG